CCCCAAAACCCCAAAACCCCAAAACCCCATGTAGCAGAAATAGTTAGCACTATTAGCATAAATTAAATTAATGATTTTGACGCATGCTATAATTGAATGTTGCTTTAAAATACATAAAAATCTTAATATAAGTGATGAATATTGAAAGTTATAGTTCTAACTTAATTTTAAACTTCTAATAATATTTCCACTATGATTTCAACTTCACAATATTAGACAAGAGAGAATTACAAAAAGAATTAATACTTAGATTTCAGAGCAAATCCATGTTTTGAATTCTAATCTACAATATCAACTGATTTTAAAAACATCACTTAAAGTGATTGCGAATTATTTGATTCATTCAGAATGAATATTGAAACTAGTAATATGGAAAAAATGATAATAAAATATATTGGACTATACAGAGGGGTACTTCTTATTTTCGAAAATATGAGCACAAATGAGTCTTTTACCTAAAATTAGACAAAGATCAAAGCTTCACTTTTCTTAGACATTAACTTATGCTATTATAGAAAGTGCTCGAGAATGATTATTACGCAAGAAAGTAGCTATAATTTTCAGTTCATTTAGAATGATAAGTTCTATAATCTAATACTACATGATTAACAAAGATTTAAAATTTGGGTTTGAGCTTTTGACAACTATATTATAAGATTAGAGGAACCAAAATCATACGATCTAGTTAAAATTATTGGTTCAGGAGGTAACGCAGTAGTTAAACTTGCTTAGAAGTATAAATCTGGTATCGAAAACAATCCTCGGCAACTTAAATAAATTGCTATCAAATAAATAAAAAAATCTTCTTTGCTCAAAGATAAAGTAGCAATTAATTAACTAAAAGTTGAAATCGAGGTACATAGAAAATTATAGAATTGTGCTAATATATTAGGTCTTTACAAAGTATACGAGTCTAATAACAATGTTTACCTGTTCCTAGAGTATCAAGAAGGTGGTACCTTAATGAATATTCTCAAAAATTCTAAGGAAATGATAGAAAAAGATTTGCAAATAATAATGGGGTAACTAATTTTGGCGACAGATTACATGCATTAAATGGGTATCATTCACAGAGACTTAAAGCCATAAAATATTTTGCTGAATTCTAAAGAAAAGAAGAATTTAGATTTGCGAATCGCTGATTTTGGACTTTCGTGCATATACAATAATGCTAAAAAGCCCTCAGAAAAATGTGGTACACCGACTTACATAGGGCCTGAAATGCTTAAAAGTAGTCGTTATGATTACAAAGTAGACATATTTAGTTTGGGATCAATAATGTATAATTTAGTTACTGGCCGCTACTTATTTTAAAGCAAGAAAAATGATAATATTTTACACCTTAATATGCAATGCAACCTCGATCATATCGACAAATACATATCTTCTCTAACTTATGAAGGTAGAGATTTGTTAAAAAAACTTTTGGAAAAAGATCCATTACTTCGACCTAATGCTAAGTAAGCACTTAAGCATCCATGGTTTTAGGCAGACAGAGAAGCCTTGGATGTTGCTTTGGTCATTAATGAGCAGATCTAGAATTTAACTTATTAAAAGAAGTTCAATATCTCATCTAGCCAATTAAATTAAGAAAGTGGGGCTTAAAGTTCCCACTACAATAATGAAAATTAAAGAGGGAGCTCCCATCATTAATGATTTTCTAGTAATCATAGAGAAAGATCAGGAAAAGATAGTCCATTGTTAAGCTATTATGATATCATTTCATCGAGCAGGAACGTTAGATCCAAATCTCCCATTAATTCAGAAAGAGAAAGCGGTATCTATACTCCTTCTGTATAGAGCAGAGCTATTAATTATGGTTTTGAAAATTACGCTTAGCAGCAATCTCTGCCACGATAAGACTAAAAGCTACAAACAATGTAGGCTTTGACTATTCTTGAAGAAAATAAAATTCAGCCTGAATAGATTATAAAGCATCAGATTATTGATAATCTTGGAGATAGTTCTGTTAAATCATGTGGTCGCCCTGAAAAACATATATATAAACCTTTCAGGTCTAATCATCTACAAAACAAAAGTGCGATAAAGTTGTCTAGTTTTCATCCTTAAGCAAAATTTATTAGAGCGAATATTGAAGAGTCAGCTTTTAATGACAATAACTTTGAAGTATTATCTGAATTAGTTACTGAGTAGAACCTTCACTAATCTAAAGACTTTAGATTCTTAAGTGGTATTAATGTTGTGTAAAATAAGAGGATTTTTATAGAAAACTCCTAAATTTTTTGAAATTCTCATTACGATAAAAGTGAAAGTAAGGCTTTTGAATTAGATTTTACATTTTAGCACTATCATTATCTTGAGGAATAATAATAAGATTTTTATTTTTAATAAACATATCATTATAATTTACAACTTTCTTGTTGCCTGGGGTTTTGGGGTTTTGGGG